GCACTGAATCCAGGTAGCACTGTGCTACATCCCCAGCCTCTTTATCATTTTATTTGGACATATCTTGCTAAATTTCGCAGCTGGCCTTAAACTTGTAATCCTCCTTGGAGTCTCTGCAGCTGTGGTAACGGGCATGTGTACCCAGTATTACATGTACAGCTTCAACAAAATGCGGTTTTAAAAATTCTTCCTAAAAAAAAAAAATTAAGCTGGCCAGATAGCTCAGCAGATTAAAATGCCCATTTAGGCAGACGCAGGGGATGGGGGTTCAATTCCCCCAGGCCTGTCATGCCTGGTGCCGGTCCCGCCCCCCAGGGCACGCTGAGGCTGGGTATGGTGGCATGCTTGTAATCCCAACACTTGGGAGGCTGAAAAACAGGAAGGATCACTATGAGTCCGATCTGTGTAGTGAGACTCTGTAGACCCTGTACTAAATACATTTTTTAAAATTTTTTTGGCGATACTGGTGTTTGAACTCATGACCTTGAACTTGCCAGGCAAGCACTTATTCTACTAAGCTATCTCCCCAGCCCTAAATACATTTTTTTTAAAAAATTATTCCTGCTAGCTGGACAGGGAGGCATGCACCTGTAATCCCAGCATTTGGGAGGCTGAGACAGAAGGATCACTCCAAGTCTGAGGTTAGCCTGGGATACATTAGTTGAAGGCCAGCCTGCACTATCCAGCAATACCCTGTCACTAAATAAGTATCTTCCAACTTACAAACCCCACCTTCTGCTCTCTAAATCTTTTTTTTTTTGGAACTGGGGATTGAACTCAGGCCCTTCCACTTGCCAGGGAAGCGCTTATTCTACCGAGCCATCTCCTCAGACCTTCATCAACCAACTAATGGATAAAGAGAATGTGGTTCTTAAACTATTCTTTTATAGTAATACTCAGCCATAAAGGACAAGCTCAAGACATTTCTAGGTAAATGCGCTTTGAAAAAATACTAAGTGAAATAAACCAGACACCTATAGGTAAATATCAGAGCTTCTCTGGTGTAAGAAATTGAAAGTGTAAATAAGGACCAAAGTGTATAACAGATATTGTGAAATAGAAAATACTGAAATAGGAAGGGGAACTAAGGAGGGGAGAGGGGTAAAAGAAGAAAGGAAAAAGAAAAAAAAAAGGAAAGAACTGAAACAAAGCTTTTGTAAATGAGGATAAGAGGGGCTGAAGGGAAGGGCAGAGAAATGAGGAGAAAAAAGAATCAAGATATATCATGCACAGGACAAATTCCTCATGACAAATGTGATCATTACGTATATCGAAAATGTACCAAAAAACAAAGATCTTGATGTGTCAAGTATGGTGATGCCTGCCTGCAATCACAGCACTGAGGAGGCTAAGACAGGAAGACCGCCACAAGGTCAAGGCCAGCCTCAACTACAAAGGGAGGGACTCTCTTTAAAAAAAAAAGGTGGGGGGGATATAGCTCAGTGGCCTAAGTGCCTGCCTGGCAAGCACAAGGTCCTGAGTTTTTAGTCCCTGGTACAAAAACAAACAAACAAACACGACCTCACCTCCACTTTTTCCAGTCTGCCATCTGTCTTTTTCTTTTTTTTTTTGGGGGGGGGGGCTTGGACTCAACCCAGGGCTTTGATTTGAATTTTTGTTTTATTGCTTTTTGAAACAAGGTCTCAATATACAGCTCAACCTGGCCTCAATTTTGTGGCAGTCCTCGTCTCAACCTTCCAAATGCTGGGATTACAGGCATACACCACAACACTTGGTTTGATTTCTTTGGTCTTAATTTGTTTTTTTTATTTTTGAGAAAAGGCCTCATCATGTAGTCTAGGCTGGCCTCAAACTCACTATGTAGCCCCTCAGGCTGGCCTGGAACTCACTGAGATCCTCCTGCCTCAGCCTCCTGAGTACTGTGATTACAGCTGTATGCCACCGTGCCTAAATTTTTTTAAATCTTGAAGCTGGGTCTTGCTACCTAGGCTGGGTTTGAACGTGCAATCCTTCCAAAGTGCTAGGGTTACAGATATGTATGCATGCCCAGCCCCTGCTCTTTATACTTGCCGTGAATAGAATGGCAGCTACCACTCACTGGCACCAATCTGCCAGGCACTACAAACACAGATTGGCCCTTCCCCTATAATTTCCAGCATCTCAACTCACAGACAACACTTTAAAGAATTTGGGTCTGGCCAGGCATAGTGGCACAACATTTGGGAGGCTGAGGAAGGAGAACAGCAATGGGTTCAAGCCACCATAAACTAACAGCAAGATTGTCTCATTCCCCCTCCCCAAAAGAAACATTTTAGTCTGACAGAGAGACCCCTTTTCCCACAACAGGAAGGCAGAAAACCTGGAATTTCAGGTAAAAAACCTTTTCTTTAAAAATGTATTTGGTATAGGGTCTTACGCAGCTCAGACAGTAGCAATCCTCCTGTTTTCAGCCTCCCCAGCACTGGGATTACAGGTGTGCACCACCACGCCTGGTCTCGGTGGTCAGCTCAGTAAGCCCAGAGGTGAGGCCAGTAAGGCATGCGGTACTACATCAAACCTGGTCCCTGTGCTTGCCTAAGCAGGCGCTTAGGCGGCTGAGCTATCTCACCTCGTTTTCTGCTTCTCACAAGAGGAGAAAGCTAGGCGCAGTGGTATACATCTAGGCACTCAAGAATATAATCTCAGCATTTAGAGGCTGAGGCAGGAGAAACAAAATTTGGAATCCTGAGCTGGGTGTGATGGTCACACCTATAATTCCAGCACTTAGGAGGCTGAGGCAGGAGGACTGCCTTGAGTTCAACGCCAGTCTCAACAATACAGCAAAATCCTGTCTCAAAAAAAACAAAAACAAAAAACAAGCTCAGCCTGGGCAATTTAGTGACTTAGCCAAGGCTCTGTCTCAAAAAAAAAAACCCAAAAAAACTGGGGGTGTAACTCAAGTTTCTGAATTCAGTCCCTGGTAGTGGGGCTGGGAGGTGGGGCACCCTCAGAACCCTTGAAGGCTGAGTCAGGAGGACTGCAACACTGCCTATTCTTGGCAACTTAAGGACATACCAAGACCTTGTCTCAAAAAATTTTTTAATTTTTAATAAAAAAGAGTTGGAGATGTAGTTCAGCACAAAGACTCTGGGTTCAATTCCTAATACCTGCACTCACGCACATGCGTGCGCACACAGGAGCAAGAACAAAGGTGGGAAAACCAATTACAGAATCTTTGTATGAAGATACTCTCTCCATGAGATACTCTCATTCTCCACGAGAATGGCTAGGCACTTCCACTAATAGCCTAACCATTTCTTCTCCTTTCCTGAACTGTAATTACAAACTACCTTCCTGTCCTGCGTTCACAAATGCCTAGTATGTGCATATGTATTGTGACACACGTGGGGAGACTGAATTCCTGCACTCGAAAAACTTCCAATCTCCTTAGAAAAGCCATCACACAAACATGCAAAGTTTTGACTGGGCTGGGCTCAGTGGGAGAGCTTGCCTAACACGCCTTGGGGCCCTAGGCTTCGTCCTCAGCATTACCAAAACATAGCTGCTTTTCTTACAGAAGACAGTAAGTGTGTGCCAGGAGGTGCAGGAGCGGGTGGTCCAGAGAGCCCTTCCCGGCTGAATCCAAGCTCAATGATTCTTTTTGTTCAAAAACGAATCTCAGGACGTCGGTCTCTCCTTACGATGAGCTTTTGTACATCTTATTCAAACTCAGGCCCAGGACAGACCACCACGCCGCGGGCCAGCGCCGGTCGCAACAGGTGCGGACACTGCCCCAACAACAGGCCCACAACAGAAGGCAGGCAGCAAAGGCCGCATCCGCCACCGGGCTGGGGACGAGGGCCAAGGCAGGCGCGCCCGAGTCGGCCTGCAGCCCCGGCCTCGCCATCTCCGCAGCAGATCTCCTCCCAATGAAACTTTCATGCCATGGAGCAGGAGGGACCCAAACCAACTGCATCAGAGACAGGTTTTACGTTACACTCGGCCCTCGCCCGGACCGCCTCACTACTTCTCCTCCCTGACCGCACGCCACACTTTCTCCTCCACTGCCACACTCCTCCTCTGAGGAAGGGTAATGCTGAGCAAGGGCTGAGGCCACCGACAGTAACAAACCCAGGAACAAAGGAACCTCCCCCAAAATGAGCTGCCACTTGGCTACCAGTGGCCCGTTTTTAACTGGAAATTTCACCTCCACACCTCCCCCTCCTTCCCTCCAGCGACTGGCGTAAGCAACGGCTCCATTTTCTGTTCCGGGAATCTCGGTGCTGCCTAAAGGAAGAGAGCGGATTGGACGGCACAAACTCGGGGCCGGTGACAGGAGGCCGCCCCCGCCCAGCGCGCCGCGGGAGGGGGGCCCCACCTCTCCTCCCGGGGAGCGCGGCCCCTCCCCCACCGCGCTCCCCACCCCCCACCTGCTGCCCCCGGCCCCACCTGGCGACCCTCGCGACGCGGCGGCGCACGCTCCGCCAGCCCCCTGCCCCACTGAGGGAAGGGAG